TTTAAAATGAAAAATACTGTTGTTTTATAGATATTAGAAGCCCTTACGCTTAGTAAAAAAAAATGACACTTATTTTTTTTTAAATAAGCCCAACAGCGGCTTGTGTTCTCCAGATTTCAAAATTCATTTATTTCACTCTATTACATAGATACACTATAAGATGTTTCAGGTAGGTACAGTAAGTAGGAATCATTATGGACTTTGTTATAACTTTGATAGAACTGTAATAAATAGAGGACATTGGCTATCTCTCTCGGTACACACTTGGCGAGATCACAACATGTACAATAGGGTAGATGCCTAATTTTTATTTTAATAAATAAATAAATAAAAATAAAAATCTTTTATTTTCAGGCGTCGACGGCCCATAGAGTGTTAGTAAACAGTACAAACTTAAAAACTATGTTAGTAGTAACACACGAGTACAAAAATACAATAACAAAATAATACATACACAAATACAAATACAGAACAGATTATTATTAGAAGCATTATCAAGCCCCACGTCTGACATGCAGCTTGATAAATCTATCTATTGTAGGCGCTTCTAGCCTTTCTGCAAACACCCTCAGAACGCCGCTGCTGCTCTCTGATTTTAATGTCCGTCTGGTAGATTATTTTAAATCATTAGACACGTATTATTTTATTTTCTTACAAAAACTAATACTTTCGACGATATATTTATTTATTTATTTATTGGTAAGCTTCATGCACAAAATGTACATAAGGTGGACTTAATGCCGCAGGCATTTTCTCCCAGTCTGACCTTCGGGTGATGCAAAGAAGAGTTAATGGTGTGAGCAAGAAGCAAGCAACTATTTAATAGAGCAAATAAAATAGATATACTTACATGTTTCAGGGATAAACATAAATAAACATAATTATAATATATATTATATGACACATATAATATATATTATAATAATAAATATATATAACATACACGAGTACAACACAATACACATGCATGCATTCATACATACATAAATACATACATACATACATACATACATACATACAGTACTATATATTACTATATATTGTATATTATATAATACTATATTGTATAATACTATATATTGTTTGAAATGTCGCGTGATGTTACTTCTATGTATATTTTATACGTAGAAATATCGTTTTAGCCCCCACTCCTAAACTTTGATTTGTTTTATCTAAGTATCATTTTAAATCATGACAAAATAAAAAAATACGTCGATTACCTATGTCTAATATTTTTTCGTTACCTAACTTACGGACTGATTAGATTTTTAATTTTCATACACCGTCATCATACCAATTGTAGAGTTACGGGACGGAAAACATACATTCGGAAACACACATTTTATGAACAATATTATAAATATCATTATTACTTTTCCTGCCACAGGTCTACAGGAAGAAATTCCAATAGGAATAAGTGGTACCTTTTTACTTTAATTTTATTTATTTATTGTTGTCCTTTATGTTGTCTTTAGTGTTGTCCTTTATATTGTATGTGTGTACATAAATCTATTACTTATAATAAATCTGTAGAAAGGTCAATTCTGTACATACAATATATTTAAAAAATAACTATCAAGGGGTGGTTAGGGATCGCTACTGATGCCGAAAATGCAATCAGTAAAATTTTTGTCTGTCTGTCTGTCTGTCTGTATGTTCGTTATGGAAACAAAAACTACTCGATGGATTTTAACGAAATTAGGCACAATTATTCTTCATACTCTTGGGCAGGTTATAGTATACTTTTCATTACGCTACGATCAAAAGGAGCAGAGCAGTGAAGGGAAATATTGGGAAAACGGGAGAAGTTACTCCATTTTTTAAGCTTCCGTCGCGTGTGCAGGCTTATAGGTTAAAGCTGCATAGAAATCATATATGACGGAAATATTCTCCTTAAAATTATATAAAAAATATTCCTCGACAGCATATGTCTATCTTTTGTGGTTGACTCACAATAACACGTGAAACTCCCGATAGCTTAGCAATTCGGTGATTTCTGATTGTATTTGTCTACTCTAACGTTTACAACACTCATTCATAGACATTACGCTGTAACTGAAAAGCCAATGGTTGAAATTAGCTTGACTCGATATTATAAATGAAAATATGTGAGTTTATGTGTTTGTTTGTTACTCAGTCATATTAAAACCACTGAAGGGACCGGAATGAAATTCGGAACAGAGGTAGATTATGGTCTGAAGTGATACATAGGCATTTTACCCCTGGGACCGCGAGCGAAGCCGCTGGCAGAAGCTAGTAATAAATAAATATGACTACAATATGAAGGCCATACGTAAATCACTAACTTTTATATGTAGATAAAATGAATACCAACACTATATTTCACCCGGGAATCAAAACGAAATCCTCTTATTTGGAAATTAGTAGGGACTTACTAATTACCTATACCTCTAATTTTGGTCTATAGTATACTATACAGTGATATTAAAAATCCAATAAAGACCTAAAAACACTTAATCCGACTTTAGAATCAAACCAAAGACCCTGTCCGTAATCGCACTAGCTAACTTCTCAACCAACAGAACTATAATAACTTCATTACAGTACCTACGCATTTTTATGAATGAAAACCGCGATAACCTGCAGGTATGACGTCATAACTGACATTCCTAGTTTATACCAAGTATTATGATTTAGTAATGTAGGTATTATGATACTAATGTGCTAGTACTAATTTTTATCTAGATCTAGGAGGTATTTGTGTCAAGTTCAGCACCCTAGTTTCTAGGCTACTTCTGTATTGAATTGTCATTACCTCGATGTAAGAGATTTATATGAGCGTCATGTAGCCTTACTTTGATATGCTAATAAAAATTAATAGCTAATTTCCTGTTTGTTTTATCAAACCTTGCTTGCTGCTATATTATGATTTTTTTCATGATGAGAGTTCGTTTGCAAAACCTAATTCCAAATACTTTGACTGCCTCGTTGGCCTAGTAGTCGCAAGTGCGACTGCCGGGCAAGAGGTTTCGGGTTCGATTCCCGGGCCGGGCAAAGTATTACTGGGTTAAATTCTCAGTAGTAGCACGGAGTCTGGAATTATGCCCGGTATATGGCAATAGGCTCACCCCCTATTACATTGGATTTATAACATAAATAGTGAATAATGGGTGTTACATTGCACAGTGGCATAATGTGCACCTCTAGCTACCCCTTCGGGAATAAAAGGCGTGATGTTATGTTCCAAATACATATTGTAGGGTCACATCAGAAAAATGTAATTTCACATTATACGTCATAAGGAAATAATAAACAGAAGATTCTTACAACAATCGGATGCAACTCTGTGTAATCCACAAATTGTTGTTTCGGGTCCGGGTGTCATATGTATGTGAACTTGTATGTCTGTAACACCCACGACACAGGAGAAATCCCTACTGTGAGGGGCATATATCCTACTAATATTATAAATGCGAAAGTTTTTTTTTTTTTATTCTAACAAACTATTTAGGGGCTTTTATCACAGATATGTCAGCCCCATCGTACCCTTTACATTACTTTACGTACTTAACATTGACTCACTTGATTAATTGTTATTCGTGGAGGACCAAAATCAAATAGCACAACCTTTTCATAATCGCTGAAGATGGTACAGATAAAATGGATTGTATAATGCCTACATCAAATTTATTTATTTTAAAATCCTTCACGAATATCTCACGTTCTTCTCCATTCCGAGCACACTCCATCAGCAAATGTTGGACATCCTCGATTTGACCACAAATGCGAAAGTTTGTGAGGATGTATGTGTGTATGTGAGTGTGTGACAGGCGTAGATTATGACCGGGAATAACACAGGTCTATCGTATAGAAACCCGGACGAAGCCACCCCCAGAGGCTAGTGCATAATACGAGTAAACCTATTTATCGTATACCTATACGACTAGATGTAAGCTTCCATACCGTGGTATCTATTTCGTTTTCGTCCCGAGCAAAACAATTAGCCATAAGGAGTAGGTACTTTCGATATATAAAAAAATGAATACGTCATTATTTTTTATTAAAAAAAAATTCATGGAAATACGCACCTGAACCACTAGATGTAAATTTGTAGGCACTATTCGCATCGCACGTGCCACCCGACGAGAAATACCTCTTCGAAAATTACATGGCGTAATGTTCGCTGTTGAAGTTTGCTTTTGGCAATGGTTCATCAGTTATTTTTTGTTTTAAACATTTTTATTTCTTTGTAAAACTGATGTTTTACCAAGAATGAAATATATTTCGTGGTGTATTCATCATACACTTTTTTTAAGGGGGGATAATCATCCAATGACTGCTCCCGCCTGGGTGAGGCGGGAGAGGGTGTCAGACTCTTACTGACTAAAAACCACCCTGTTCCTTCTCCTGCACGTCGAGCCGGAGCCCCGGTTACCCGTTAGGTTTTCCACGACATTCATCATACACTAGATCCAATTCAATTTAGTACTGTTACTAACAATCGATTGATTAATGATCTAATCGAAACAAACATTTAATAACAATACTTACTCAAATATATACCAATATATACCAATACACACAGCGCCATCTATACCAATACTTTTGTTTACCCACGAGAATATCAATTTTTCCGGGATAAAAAGCCTACCCTATTATTTAATCCGGACTTCGAACTTTACGTCTGCAAAAATTCAAAGCAATGGGTTTAGTAGTTACTGCGGTAAAGTGGAACAAACAAACAAACTCACTTTCCGATTTATAATATCACAAATATCAAGTATTTTGGTCACTATAAAACATGTGCTACTACCCTTAAAGGACAAAAGGACAAGTGCCCTAAGGACATTAGCAAATAACTTCGAGTGTCGGAAAAACAAAGTTCCTTACACCCTACAATTGTTTTACGAGTGTTGTCTCATTGACAATAAATAATTGCTACGCTTATCTATTACCTATGTTAAATATATATAAGAACGATAATTAAGTGCTGTGCGCATATTGGCTCCGGTGCTAACTTTAATTGGACGTCTGGGAAAATGTTTGCGTACATTTTTGTTTGTCTCTTTCTGGGAGGTTATGGTGAGTTCAATTGCGTATTTTTTTATTTTAATTTTTTTTTTTTCTACTGCCTCGTTGGCCGAATTGTCGCAAGTGCGACTGCCGGGCAAGGGGTTTTGGATTCGATTCCCGGGTCGGGCAAAGTATTACTGGGTTTTTTATAAGTTCTCAGTAGTAGCACGGAGTCTGGAATTTTGCCCGGTATATGGCAATAGGCGCACCCCCTATTACATGAGGCTCGTAACATAAATAGTTAAAAGTGGGTGTTACATTGTACAGTGGCATTAAGTGCCGTAATGTGCACCTCTATCTACCCCTTCGGGGATAAAAGGTTATGTTATTTTTTGTATCAAGTATATGGTTATGCTTATTCTTAAGTCATAATGTAGCTAGCGATAAGTATTTTTTGCCGTGAAAAGTGAAAGCATTTTTCACCAAAATAAATATTTCTACCTACATTTTTCTTCTTCATTAAACATTATTCTTGATTCTCCTGAAATCAATCTCAGCCATCACAGGCTTACCTGCGCGTAAAATAAATTATTTCCTTAATACTTTACTGGGAATTCGCGCGAAAATATAAATTATGTAAAGAGATTTTCGTGAAATTGATTGAGAACTTTTTTTAAACACTACAACATAACATCACGCCTTTTAACCCCGAAGGGGTACGCAGAGGTTCACATTATAGCACTTAACCCTTTGAGTACGTCGCGTCGCGGAGAACCTAACGGGTAACCGGGGCTCCGGCTCGACGTGCAGGAGAAGGAACGGGGTGGTTTTTAGTCAGTAAGAGTCTGACACTCCCTCCCGCCTCACCCAGGTGGGAGCAGTCATTCGATGATTTTCCCCCCTTAAAAAAAACCCTTTGAGTACCGTCATTATAGACACAATTAAAGAACAATAAGTTGCGGTCACCGGTGTCCTCGCGGTGTTTGACAGTTTAATGCCACTGACTGCCCGTGCTACTACTGAGATCTTTTTTAAAAACCCAGTAATTCTTTGCCCAACCCGGGAATCTAATCCGAGGCAGGTGTTTTTCTTTTTTTCTCTGAGTAAAATATTCTATCTTAAGTATTAAGCGGGTAAAATCGTATGGAGCTAGTAAAACATATTTTTGGTTGCAAAAGGTTATCATGGGCAAGTAGAATTTCACCTGGTATACCTAGGCTGATGGACCTATTGGCATACACCAGATAATATACCAAAATTAGCGTAAATTCGGGGTAATAATTGATTATGCCTATGCTTTTGAGGATTAAAAAGCAATATAATTAAACAATAATGCGATATAATTAATTAAAAACGTTCCATTCATTACACGTGCAAACTGCATCCCACGCTCTCCATTTAGTAAAACAATGAATAAATTCTGACCTTTCAACGCGATATTTTTAACTGAATTGCAGGCACGAAATACATTCGTAAAATATTTACAACAGATAGTTCGAGGAACACGTGCCATAATCAGAGTACGAATAATTATCGCATTCGTATCGTAACGGTATCGAGCGAGTTCGACGTTCTGATTGGTTGATTTTCAGTGGCGTTAATTTAAAATTTTTAAAACCAAATTCTAGAATGTTTAATTACATTATCATGACTCCACATATAAAGAACATTTTAAATAGAGTTTTGTGGTTAAAAGTTTATAGAATACTAGCGACCTGCCCTGGCTTCGCATGGGTGCAATATGCATATATTATACAGTAGCTTTTACCCGCGGCTTCGCTCGCGTCACAAAAGGATAAAAAGTAGCCTATGTGACATATACCAATATACATAGCGCCATCTATACCAATACTTTTTTCCCTCGGGAATATAAAATCTTTCCGGGATAAAAAGTACCCTATTATTTAATCCGGACTTCTAACTTTACATCTGCAAAAATTCAAAGCAATCGTTTTAGTAGTTACACCGTGAAAGCGGAACAAACAAACAAACTCACTTTCCGATTTATAATATTAGTAAGGATATAAACCTTCCTCTTGAATCACTCTGTCTATTAAAAAAATGCATCAAAATCCATTGCGTAGTTTCAAAGATTTAAGCATACAAAGAGACTTAGAGACAGAGAAAGCGACTTTGTTTTATACTATGTGGTGAAGGAAAATTATATTTCACTGTTAGAAAACAATATTTTAACCCTCCTTATGTAGAGGAAAGCTTGTCCAGTTATTTTATTAGTCTCATGTTATGTGAAGTCCAGCAGTGGGCTACCATTGGTTGTTGATAATGTAACCAAGAATTGAAAATGGACCGTCAGTCAGATTGTGAAGCGTAATTCTACATTCTAGATGTTCTTAAATAACATCACGCCTTTTAACCCCGAAGTGGTAGGCAAAGGTGCACATTACGGCACTTAATGGCACTACACAATGCAATACCCAGTTTTCACTATCTATGTTATGAGCCCTATGTAATAGGGGTTGAGCGTATTGACATATACCGGACATAATTCCAGACTCCATGCTACCACTGATAATTTTTTTTAAATCTTTTTTGCTCGACCCGGGATTCAAACCCGAGACCCCTTGCTCAGCAATCGCACTTGCGACCATTTAGCCAATGAGGCAGTCTAATTCTAGATGCTCTTTTACACACAGTTACATGAAATATACTAAATATCAATAGTCATCAATTACTACCTATAATATAAGAACTTAAAATAAAAACTATATTAAAACACAAAATACCTTTTAATTTTATACCATCTACAATCTACATTGTTAATGTTTCTATTGTGTGACATTTCGTCCCGCGTTCCCGCCGTCCCGCCGTCCCACCGTCCCACCGTCCCGCCATCTCACTATCCCGCCATTTCATGTCGTCTCCCTGTTTTTGCCAGTCTTATTCACGAAAAACTAAGAACAATACTAATGAGCTTCGCTATTTGTCCCCAACAAGTTCGTCATTCTAAATAAGTAGATTATGACGTATATTTTGCCCGACCATACTTACGATGCAGTTTGTTGTTTTTGCTAGAAAGAATAACAAACATAGGTAAGTCCTCACAAAGTTTGACATTTATACGGAGTACTTATGTGCTAACAATGTAGGAAGGAATCTAATCAATGTTTTTGGTATGCGACAGTAAAATGGAAAATATATATTTTTTATGGGATAAGCCGGTAAACGAGCAGGATCACCTGATGGTAAGCAATCGGCGACGCCCATGGACACCTGGAACACCAAAGGCGTTACCGGCCTTTTGGGATTAGGAATTTGAGGATTGTTGGGGTTTCAAGGATTAGGGAAAGGGAGGGGGGGTAGTTGGGCATCCGGTGACCTCCCTTACACGACGAAACACAACACAACGTTGTTTAACGTCAGTCTTCTGCTCGGCCGTGGTATCACTCCGGTCGAGCCGGCCCATTCATGCCGAAGCATGGCTCTCCCACACTTAAATTACGTTTATAATGATTGGCTATTTCATCAGAATATAATCTATAGGTTTCTGTTAAATGTCTAGTCATTTAGTCAGCTGTACTGTTACGTAAGATTTAAAATAGCATGCTAAAAGGCGTTCCATTGATTATGCTCAAAAATGTTCAAAAATCGAACGCCTGTTGATTCGCAAACATGCCTGAAATGAGCATGTAGTTTTGAGCAATGCTACTAAGTGACTAGTGCTCGATTGAAGCATGTTTCCGTGCTTGAAATTAGCATATTGTATAACAAATACCTTTGGTCTTACGCCCCCGCTAATCAATATTTTTGGTGTGCGACAAATACAATGGAAGATAATGGTTATACTCATCACTTCTTCATTTTGACCCTCAGAGTGTAATCTATAGAATCAGGAGATTGCAGATAATGTATTCTTAAAAAATATCAGTTTTGTTTAAAATATCGCTTTCCAGAATATAATAACCTTTTTGCAGGGGCCGTGCTTCACGCGCCAATTGTCCCACCACCTCTACACCAGGGCGAAGTCTCATATGAGCTGCCATGGCCATTCATCATACCAGGAAGCAGGATAGTGGGTGGAATAGCAGCTCCTGAAGGTAGAGTCCCGTACCAGGCGTCCTTGAGGAGTATACTCAACGCTCATTTCTGTGGCGGATCTATTCTGAATAAGAGGTGGATTTTGACTGCTGCTCATTGCACTGTTGGGTAAGGATATCTTCATTTTGCGCCAGATGATTTATTATTATTGTCTGTAAAGATTATCTCCCTGTGAGTCAAAGTTCTACCCTAAATCCACTCCATTCTGCGCAAAGCTTTCTGCTGCTAATCTTTGTAGAACATAGTAATACCTATATGTATGTAATTGCAATTTTTTAAAACTAATATTTTTACACACAAACAAAGAAAGAAGGTTACTTTAACCAAACGAAATGAAAAACCGAAATATCTTAAAATTGTCACCTATAGGTACAAAAGCATAAACAACTTATTATCATTATAATCACTTAAGTGAACAATGGACCGGTTCGCGAGAACAAAGAGGTATACTACGCAGTTAATTCAATCTTGTACACAAAACCGGGTTTTCATTGCATTATGCGTAAACTGAAATAAAAATATTGGTAAGCAAATAGAAGTTTTGACAAGTAGCATAAGATTGAGTTTCGTAATAATAAATGACAGAATCACCCAGTGACAAAATCCCCCCGTTCCCAATATAATACAGAGAAGTTCAGATGAAAGCTCTGAACGGGTCCCCATTCCAGGTGAGGCCCCGTGGCATTTTGCCAACTTATCATTCTGTAGTTACTCCACATTACTCATGAGCCTGGCCACCATACATAAAATAGTTCCACCAATCTCCACTCTTAGCAAACAGGTTGAAAATAGCAGTTCAAAAGGTTTATTTAGGTTTTTCTGAGACTATTGCTGCCGGTCTCTGTTAAATATCTAGTCATTTAGTTAGCTGTAGGTACTGTTAGACATGCGCTAAAATAGCATACTAAAAAAGCGTTCCATTGATCATGCTTAAAATTGTTCAAAAATCGAACGCTTGTTGATTCGAAAACATGCTTGAAATGAGCATGCTAGTATTGAGTAACATTCCAACACATATGCTACTAAGTGACTAGTGCTCAATTGAAGCATGCTTGGAATAAGCATATGTAAGAGTACCTTTAGTCTAACGGTCCCTGCGAGAAATAAAGACTTGGTGACAATAAATGTGTAATAGTCTGCTGTCTCCATAAAATTTAACCTTGTTTGAGATGAACCACAGTTGAAATAGGAATAAACAGATAAATTATTATGTTTTCGGCTTACTCACTCAATAATTTGACGAGGAACTCGACTAGTTTCAAGCCATGCTAGAGGCTCATATTCATGAGCAGCATTTCGCGACCCGCGACGCGGCGACTGTCGCGCTGCTACTTACATTTTACATTGAAAACATAATAATTTATTTAGTAAACAGGAATAAACAGGAAAAATAAGGAATAAACAGAACTATACAAATAAAGTCAACATAGTTTTAGTAGTAAAACGATACAAATGTTAAGTAGTTAAAGTGATTTAAAGTTCCATAGGTAATCTAATATTATGTAGTGAACCTTAACTCGGGAACTTGTGGGCGATACCTGACTTATTGTAAATCAGTTCACATAGGGTCTTCGTATAATAAGAACGTGAGTAACGATTATCGCCTATTATAAATTGGTATAGGGCTTAATATGCCTTGCGTCAGGATATTGGCAAATCTTAAATGATGATAATGTCCTAAGTTAAGGTTATAATCATTTTCAGACGTTTCTATTCTTAACTCGTACGTACCTAATTTAAAAACTATTAGACATCATTCACATACAATGTTGTGGTGGCCCAGAGGTTTAAGACGCCCGCTTCTCATGTATGAGAATGCGAATTCGAAGCCTACCAACTGTACTTTCTAAGATTATTCAGACACCACTGACGAACGGCGTAGGAAAACATCGTGAGGAAACCTGGGCTTATAATTTCTAATTATAAGTTTGAAATCGTCAACCCGCATTGAGCAAGCGTGGTGATTAATGCTCGAACCTTTTCCGTGCGAGAAGAGGCCTTTGGTCAGCAATGGCTACTTATAGGCTGTTGATGATGACATAATATGATAAAGGAAAAGATCATAAGGAAACTAGAACTTATTATTTCACATTATAAGTTTGAAATCGTAATGATTTCTTTCTCCAAGTGAAAAGATACCTTTACTGAGCTATACTAATGATGTTAATGCTGATGAGAGGATTCTAAGCAAGAGCTTGCCCTCCACACATCATCTCAAAACCTTCAATTAAAACAACGAATGATACATTAATATCGGCAACGCGTGGGATATTGTCAGGTGTAATAAACTTCAGCTGAAGGTAACAGGAAAATATTGGTAAAATATTTGTACTAGAACCAGGCTAAAGGCTCCCGTAATTGCCAATCTATTACAGTTCTATATATACAGAGTTATTTCTGTGTAACTTTATGTTTTCACACATGTTTTTCAAGTATATATATAATGTAGATATGGGTGTTTTTCGCTTAAAAATACTTTGATTAGTTGTGTGGTTACATGATTATATGATTAATCTGTAGACCAAATAAACAGTGCTTAGATACCTAAGCACTGTTTATTTTCTTCTGGGGAAATAGCATTTGATTTATATATAGCCCCAAATCCGTAAAAAATACGAATGCGCTCACTTTTAACGCTTTTATTTACGCAACGCTAACTAACGCCTTAGTACGAGTTTATTTTATGTTTAAAGTAATCGTAACGAGTACGCGTTTGGCGCTCTGATTGGTTGCTTCATTGGCGCCGGCCAATCAGATCGCTGAACGCGTACTCGTTTGGAATACTTTATACGTAAATCAACTCGTACTAATGCCTCTGGATAGAATAACAATAGGTCTTGAACAAGATTCTCTAGTTGAGTTTTGTAAACATGCACAACATCACCTTTAATTCCCCATAAGGTTGAACAGAATCCTACACATTAATTAAAAACACCGGTTTACTAACCTGAAATAATGAGAAAAGCTCTACGAGTTTCGAGGCACAGAGGGACTCTTCATCATGATGAATGTTAACCGGAGTTTTTGATTAATTTTGTCTAATCTCACGATAGTTATTATATAAATAGAATTCCATATAATATATATCCAGCCACAAATTTCGGATTCCCAGTAATGCGCCTGCAGACTATGCTCTTTACGCTGATCATCGCTATGCTCCTCGCGCTGCCGTGATTTGCCGCGATGTTGCCCTCTCTGCCCACACACTGCTCTACTCGCGCAATTAATTACGACGCTCCTATTGCCGGTCCTCGTTACCTCCTCGTATTGCCGGTGTCTCCGACTCACAAAACTCGGAAAACCGACAAAATAAGGAGCAGTGTGCAGGACGAAGAGTATGACGTGTAGCATGACGAGTAATGTTGCCACACTATGTCTCTGCCTCCTTTCCTCGTTACTTCCCAGACTCGTCAGGTGTGTGGCAGGCGCATAATACCTTTGTCCGACTTAGCAAAGGGAAAGACTAATCGAATTCAAAGAAAACAATAATACTACATTACCTATTTTCCTTACAGCCAATCAAAATACTCGATGTTAGTCGTAGTAGGTACGACAAACCGGCTCATTGGAGGAGACTCCTACTCCGTAGACAGCATCCTCATACATGAGAAGTATGACAGTTCTGAGATTAAGAATGACGTCAGCATCATCAAGGTTAGCCGGGACATCAAGTTTAGTGACGTCGTACAACCTATTGAGCTTCCAGTTGAAGATACAGGCGCTGGAGTAGACCTGTTCCTTAGTGGTTGGGGGAGACTTTCTGTAAGTATATTTCTTTTTCTTCAAAACAGTCTTTAGTTCTAATGAAATGATAAAAATCTTAGTATCTTTCCTTGTCAGATAAAATAATTGCATCAGAATTTAGTGGTATATCAGCAGCTTTTAGCGCTTAGCGCTTGTCTACTTGTAGAATAGAAAACCAAATTATATGGAATTGACGTAAATTTTGACACTTGTCAGTGTCATTCCCATACATTTAGTTTTCTACTCTCTCTGTAGACAAGCGCTAAAGTGGCGTTTGGCTAAAGGCCCAGAACTGCTAATATCTTTCATTCACTAGGGCTTAAACGTCATTTCTACGTATAAAATGTACATAGAAGTGACGTCACGTGACATTTCAAATCAATATATCGGCGAGAGTATTCGTTTTTGTACGAAAATAAAAAATACGTGTCTAATGATTTAAAATAATCTACCAGACTGACATTAAAATAAAAAATAGGCATCTTATTCATTTTCTTACTCATAAGAAATGCGAAGGCTCTTAGTGGCATATGTGATACTACTATATATATAGCTTCTCTGCATTTGCAGTACAGATTATTAAATTTCTCCATTCCGCTTTGTAGATGGAAATGATTCCTAAACTCTTTTAAGAAGACGAAGTAGGGTCTACGACCACTTGACCTATAAAAAAGACAAAAAAAAATCAAATAAACACACGTTAAAATGACGAGTGGTACTTACATATACTCCTTGCTTTTGTTACTTGAATCCTACGTAGTCACAACACAATATAAACGCCTTTAAGAAGTTGCCAGGAAAGAGGAAATGCAAACATCTCGTGAAAAGATTTTCAATTCCTTCCAAAGTCAGATAGGAAATTAAACACTTCCCATTTATTTCCCCTTTAAAATTGTCGGAGAGAAACTTCTAACCATACACATCAATTACTTTTAACATGCAATTCAAAGAATCTTTGATCGATATGGTACAAGTGAAGAGTTCTGGAAAGTATTGAACTGGTTATGGCACTGGTATCTGTGGACAGAAGCTTAGATTAGTATATGGGCTATATTAATATTTGTAAAGGAGTATGGTTGCATGATATGGGATAACCGTCTATTGTATAGAGCTTACACCGTAGATAAAGATTCAAAAAATTGTAAACTACGGTTTAACTAGCGAATTCAAACCCCTCTTATTTTTTAAGTTGCCTTTTCGTAAGTGTAACAAACAATTTTCTGAAAACCGCAACAAAATCGGTTTAGCCAATTGCGAGATAACCGCGCACTAACATACATACATACATATAGATCAATCTGAAAACCTATTTTTAAGTCGGTTTAAAAGTACTTAATTAATAGAGCATTCTTTTATAAAATAAAGCAACCACCTCATGGCCGTGACCGCAAATTAAAAAAAAAACCGACACATTATTCACCAAATATTTGGCTCGACCGTGATACCACGGCCTCACAAAAACCCGACGTCAAGCAACGCTTGCGTTGTGTTTACCGAAGGAGTGAGGTTACCGAAAGCCCAATTACACACCCCCAGAATCCCCAAATCCCCAACAATCCTCAAACTCCTAATTCCCAAAAGGCCTAACGCACTTGTAACACCGACCTCACCGGCGACGCCGATTGATTACCATCAGGTAATCCGTCTGCTCGGTTACGCCGGTTTATGCCCTAAAAAAAACCTTAATTATGACACATTAAACTTTATATCTCCATCAGACCTTTGACAAAATGACCTGAAAAAAATATACCATCATATTTTTATCAAAAAACAGTTGCTTAGTTACAAAGTTTCGTAAAAGTTGACCCTCTGCACTATTATTATTCCCCGCACATTCGTAGGGCTGCCTAATTGTGTCATTAGTGCTTCGTGGAAACCCTTATGTTGGGCAGGGCTGGTACCTAGCACATAGTAAAGTGGCTGACATTTATTTTTTTAATAGGCGACCCGCCCCGGTTTCGCACGGGTGTAATATGCCTGTATTATACATATAAACCTTCCTTAAGAAACACTCTATCCATTAAAAAAATCGCATCAAAATCCGCTGCGTAGTTTTTAAAGATCTAAGTATACATAGGGACAGACAGAAGGCGGATAGCGATGTGTGTTTTATACTATGTAGTGATTTTTCCAGTGTACTATGGGCAAAGTTTACGGTAATACACCTATCAAACAAAATCCTGTCGCAAACTCGGTATCCACCTCTCTGTTTTTTCTGTCGTCGCTCGCTTCAAGCGCATGCGAATATCGCCTAATGATGGATGACCAACTTTGTCGATTGTGCATAGTAATCAATTCTGTAAAATAGGTTACTAGGTATAATATGATAAAAAATTCACTAATGCATAACTAGCTCAAAAATATTTCTTAAAAACTTTTATTAGATAATCCTTACTAATATTATAAATCGGAAAGTGAGTTTGTTTGTTTGTTCCGCTTTGACACCGTAACTACTAAACCGATTGCTTTGAATTTTTGCAGACGTATTTGAGAAGAACGTAGAAGTCCAGATTAAATAATAGGGTACTTTTTGTCCCGGACAAATTGTATATTCCCGAGGGAAAACAAAAGTATTGGTATAGATGGCGCTGTGTATATCGTTATATGTCACATAGGCTACTTTTTATCCGTTTGTGACGCGAGCGAAGCCGCGGGTAAAAGCTAGTAACTTCATACATCATATTCTTTCTAACTAGAAGAAACACCGACACAGACTTATAAACACGAGAAAACTTTTCGTACATAAGATATTAGCGAAACAACACAAGTTCTATCGTTCGACAACCCTGTTCACCTCAACAAGTTACAACATTTGCTGGGGCCCGTACCATTACATTACAGCGGCACTTCGGTTTATGTGTTTTGTTACTTCGTCTAGCACTAGATTGTACCTAAGTGTACCTAGAGTATAAAGATATCTTTCAAGGTCATTTAGAACAACAATAGTATAGTTTACTCTGTTTAGACTCTCTTTAGACTGTCTCGTTGACCGAGTGGTCGCAAGTGCGACTGCCGGGCAAGGTATCTCGGGTTCGATTTCCGGGTCGGGCAAAGTATTACTGGGTCTTTAAAAATCTCAGTAGTAGCACGGAGTCTGGAAATGTGCCCGGTATATGGCAATAGGCTCACCCACTATTACATGGGACTCATAACATAAATAGTGAAAAGTGGGTGTTACATTGTACAGTGGCATTAAGTGCCGAAATGTGCACCTCTGCCTACCCCTTCGGGGATACAAAGGCGTGATGTTATGTATATTTTATATTATAGTTTGCTTTTCTTGAATATCTTCATATAGTTAAGGATTCGAGTTCAGCAGTAGGTATCTTGGAGAAGGAAAAACTCTCTACCGAATCGTACAAGACTTCTTATAATTCACTTTGTAATATTTCTAGTTTATTTTTATCATATTCTAAGGAACAAAGGCCTCCTCTTGAAACCTAAAAGTTGCTATAATCTCCATGCTTTGCAGGCTATTTATGAATTGCAGTTAAATCAACAATAGCTTAAAAGATACGTACTGTAGCGTGCTATGTAGTAGCCTGGAGTTCAAGGTTTGAAATCAAATATGATTTACCTGTACCTGTACCTAATAAGGTACCGAATCAAAAAGTTTTGTCAGTAGGTTTTATTTGTGTTAAATCTAGATAAATACAGCTTTAAACTCACACTTTATTACCTGAATTAATAAGCTGAAGTGAGGAAATAGAGCTGTAGACATTGAAGGCTATAAACCTCCGCCTACCCTCTAGAGATAAATCAGTTATGATCTAATTGTAAGAACTAATTTGTCTTTATTATACTTACTGAATTATACAACGTTATACCTCCCTCATTTACTTCTAATTAAACTGATAAAATAAATTATGCTTAGGTACCTTTTTGTGTAACTATTGTTTGCGTTAAATTGTACCTATTTTCATTTATTTACTAGTACTTCTGCCCGCGACTTCGTACGCGCAATCCCGTTCTTTCCCGTTCCCATTCGTGATTTTCGGTAAAAAGAAAAAAAAAATTCGATGAAAAAGTATCCTATGTCCGTCTCCTGGTTCTAATCTACCTCCCCACCAATTGTCATCCAAATCGATGAAGCCGTTCTTGAGTTATAAGTAGTGTAACTAACACAACTTTCTTTTATATATATAGATTACGTGAAATAACTAAATGACACTTGACACTAGAATTTCCTGATGTAGCCGAAAGTATATCAACCTATACTAGTCATGTTATTCTACATGATACCTCTGATCGTCCACTGGCATCCTAAACATATCCTTTCCATCATCGTACCACAAGACAATCGACAATCACTGATGCATGGTAGATGTCCCATTCACACGCAAGAAGCGATTCACATCAAGTTTCCTTGTGCGTACTGCTAAGTAGTGGTATTATTTGCCAGAGTCTGTATTTTCTGAAGGGTGTAACCTGGGTGTCTTCAAGCCCCGAGTAAATAGGACGACGTGTTCCATCGTAGACCGCATCATCGCTTACCACCAGGCGAGATAGTGGTCAAACGTCGGCCCATCAAATATATAAAAAAAATGCGGTCCATAATAAATAGTTCCTAAATACGTCCCTGTGCACAGTGATATAATTTTCCTGGAATGAATACGGCATATGTACGAGTACGTGCTTTCGAAATTCGTGGGCGTTCTTCCTCGAATGTTGATTACAGTATGGTTTTCATACTAACTGTATCAAAGTAAGTTAACTTTGGGCGCGAAATTATATCTTCTTTTAACGTAGGTACATATTTCCTACAGAGTTGCATTTTAATAGGGTAGTATCCTTAATTTATTTTAATGTTCGTTTGGTGGATTATCTTAAAACATTAGACACGTATTTTTTCTTTTCTTATAAAATAAAATACTTTCCACCGTATATTGGTATATATATGGTTTGAAATATCGCTTGTCACGATTTACTACATTTATAGGGTAGTGTGACGTAACGACCAACTCCTAAACTTAACTCTGTTTAATCTAATTAAAAATACGTAAAAAAAATGTGTTTTCTTACACGAGAAAACAAAAAAAATACGTGTCTAATATTTTTTCATTTTCTAACTGACGGACTAATTACATTTTTAATTCTCATACACAGTCTACTCCCCTATATGCGATTGAATATTAGTAGGAACTGTATGGTTCTAGGAGTCAAGTATTAGAAAGCTTTACTTGTCTTTGATGTTTGCTTAGTAGTTTAATTAAAGTATTTCTATTGCAAGAAAATAGTAAAATTTTCAATTTTCAATCTGATAACTATGGAGTTTCTGGCTCGTTCTTCTATGTTTAAATCTACACTTTGGAATGAGCACCTAGCTTTACTGACTGATAGACTGATGGAAATGATTGACTAAATATTTTGACGTTTACAAGGTGCCTATGTGTGGATGAATTGACAAAAAAATTTCATCGACTTTGAAATATTACTGGTAATTTTAATTTTTCCTTCATACTAAAACCTCCTTGCATTTCAGTACCCTGGTTCACTGCCCGTTCAGCTGCAGATGATCAACCTGACTTCCCTGAGCGTGGAACAATGCCAGGGTGTTTACCAGAACATCAACCCAGTCTTCAGCTCACAGATCTGTTCGCTCACCAAATCCGGAGAAGGAGCCTGTCATGTAAGTGTTACAATTTTAGAGATATATATTGGTAATTTTAAATGGCTATGATAAGTTACCTTTAAGATATCTCAGAATCTTATTTGCAAGTAAACAATATGTTTAGTAATAAATAAATACCTGGAACAACATGTTTGTAAAAATAGTTTCTGACTAAAGCAACCAATCGATGCTATTACATGGAATATTATTAATTATAATCTAAGAAGTAAAAAAAATAGCATCTCCAACTCAAAAAGCATTTATTTCTATTAAACCAAATTTTGGTCCTTTTGAAACGTCAACAAATCCTTACTAATATTATAAATCGGAAAGTGAGTTTGTTTGTTTGTTCCTCTTTCACGCCGTAACTACTAAATCGATTGCTTTGAATTTTTACAAACGTAAAGTTAGAAGTTCGGATTAAATAATAGGGTTCTTTTTCTTTTTTTATCCCGGAAAAATTTGATATTCCCGAGGGAAAACAAAAGTATTGGTATAAATGGCGCTGTGTGTATTGATATATGTCACATAGGCTACTTTTTATTCTCTTGTGACGCGAACGAAGCCGCGGGTAAAAGCTAGTATAACATAAATAATAATTCTGACAGTCTGTCCGTCAGTGAAGCTCATAAAATGTTCATAAAATAGTTGATTAGGTGAAAATTACTAACCAAAAATATTCAAATACTAATACTATATCAAACGACTCTAAACCAATGAAAATGACGCACATTAAACACCAACAGTATACAAAAACCTATTTATATTTCCATTCAAAACAAATTGTTTCCTTACCCTAACTCAGTCGGGATTCGATCGAAATACAGCTGTCATACAAATATTAACGCATCTGTTCGGCTCGCAAATGGTATTATGGGGTGTTATCTCAAACATGATTTATGATGGGTCCCGCCCCGCCTTGCATGTTAACACAATATTTTAAATTACGTACATATTGAGTGTGCTCTGATTTATTGTAAATTGCTATTTAATTCACATAACATAACATAACATCACGCCTTTTATCCCCGAAGGGGTAGGCAGAGGTGCACATTACGGCACTAAATGTAACACCCACTTTTCACTATTTATGTTATGAGTCTCATGTAATAGGGGGTGAACCTATTGCCATATAGGTACCGTGCTACTACTGAGATTTCTAAAAACCCAGTAATACTTTGCCTGACCCGGGAATCCCCTTGGCCGGCAGTTACACTTGCGACCACTCGGCCAACAAGGTAGTCTTATACTCAATTTAAGAACTTGGACATGTTTATAGTTATAATCTTCTCCATCTTTCCAGGGTGACTCCGGCGGGCCTTTGGTAGCTGACGGCAAGGTGGTTGGAATAGTATCGTGGGGCATGCCCTGTGCCCGCGGCTACCCAGACGTGTACACCAGGGTGTATTCATTCCTGGACTGGATACAATCCAAGATTAACTTGGAATAAATTCCAGTACCAGGTACAAGGTAAAAAGGATTTTGATGTAATCATCTTTAGGTCCTTTTTAAATAACTTAGCCATGATAAGAATAATGTTTTTATACTCGAATGTATTAATGAATTGACAATAAACAATATTAATTGTTGCAGTGCTTTTTATTACACGCCTTAAGGAAGGGTACTGTTTTTTAATAAGTAGTTATTTTATGTTTTTTAATATATAGTTTAGATACCTAATATGAAGCATGGTGTTATTAATAGGCTTTAAGGAAACCTTTAACCAAACCAAGTGATTTCATAATGAAACTCCTTGGATTTCATCATCATCATCATCATCATCATCATCAACAGCCGGGAGACGTCCACTGCTGGACAAAGGCCTCCCCGTTAGCCCTCCACGTCGAACGACAACTCGCCACCCGCATCCACTGGCTCCCCGCAACTCTGGCGATGTCGTCGGTCCACCTAGCGGCAGGCCTGCCCACGCTTCGTCTTCCGGTCCGTGGTCTCCATTCAAGGACTTTCCTGGCCCCATTGCCACTTTAGTCTGCAGATTTTGCGAGCTATATCGGTAACTCTTGTTCTTTGGCGAATTTCCATATTTCGGATTTTGTCGCGCAAAGAAACCCCGAGCATAGCTCTCTCCATCGCACGCTGAGCGACTTTGAGCTTCTCCAGAAGGCCAGAGGTCAGGGACCACGTCTCGGTACCATACGTCATCACCGGCAACACACACTGGTTGAACATCCTGGTCTTTAGGCACTGAGGGATTTTCGATGAGAAGATTTCGCGTAACTTCTTCCTTGGATTTAGAAACTGGGAACTTTCTTTCTTTGTTTCTTCTAGAACAGGACCCAAGCAATATCTTTTTAAAAATGCTATAAACTTCCACGTGTTTCCCTTCCCTGGTACAGCCATTATATTGTATCTTACATAAACATGGCACGTGGAACATACGCGTGCACTACCGCAGAGTAACTTAATTAACTAATTAATTGATATATATAAATGTCACTCATACCTACTTATGTACCTACGTAGCGTAGGTATATGGACACATATTACTGAAAATGCCTTCAAGATACATTATTATATGAGGCTTTTCAACATTTTATAGAGGTGATGCATTTACTTCTAATCAATTCGAAACTAGCTTCTGCCCGCGACTTTGTACACGCAATTCCCGTTTTCTCCCATTCCCATAAGATTTTCAGCATTTTTTTCTATCATAAGAACTTTTTCCTGACAATAATAAATACAACAAAAAAAATCAGTCAAATCGGTCTAGCCTTTCTCAAGTTATGGCGTGACAACGGGAAATTTAATTTTTAGACATAGACATATAGATAGACAGAAACCTATTTTTTTTTTTTTTTTTATGGAATTGGAGGCAAACGAGCAGACGGATCACCTGATGGTAAGCGATCAGCGCCGCCCATGGACACCCGCAACACCAGAAGAGTCACAGGTGCGTTGCCGGCCTTTTAAAAAGGAGTACGCTCTTTTCTTGAAGGTTTGAAGGTCGTATCGGTTCGGAAATACCGCCGACGACAGATCATTCCACAGTTTTGCTGTGCGAGGCAGGAAGCTACGTGAGAACCGCACAGTTGTGGCCTGCCAACCATCTATTTGATGGGGATGCATATGCTGTCGTGAGGGCCGATGGCGAAAAGATGCGGCAGGTATCAGGTCAAACAATTCCTCAGAGCACTCCCCGTGGTATAAGCGGTAGAAAATGCACAATGAAGCTACATCTCTACGCATTGCCAAAGTGTCGAGCCGGTTTGAAACACCCGGACATCCAACAATCCGAACGGCACGCCGCTGAATGCGGTCCAGAGGAAGAAGCTGGTACTGGGGTGCCCCCGCCCAAAGATGAGAACAGTATTCCATGTGGGGCCGCACCTATAAACACAAAAGAAAACTAAACGAACAACAAACAGATTATCCTAACATCTAGACCCTAATATATTCGCAAATATTTACTGTCCTTCAGAAATCAGAGCAACTCAACTTAGAACATAATTAAATTAACTTTATAATAAAGTGAAGTATCCATTACCTGGCCTAAAACAATAGTAACTCGTCCCTTTCAACCTTGGCCAAGTTTCAAGGGTCTATGTATACTGTATAGTCAGCAGTGTAAGTCGGTATACCTACAAACAATATTTACCTTTAAGTTATATGCAAATAAAGTAGCAAGTGCCGTGTTTGCTTAGTCGGTTTAAACATAGAAGTTTATAGAGGTTTATGATATACATACATATATATATAGATCGCTAGGGAATTATTAGTTTGAATTACTGATTCATTGTCTTTTTCAAAATAACAATTATATATAATCACTGCCTCTATGGCCGAGTGGTCGCAAGTGCGACTGCCGGGCAAGAGATCTTGGGTTTGATTCCCGGGTCGGGCAAAGTATTACTGGGCTTAAAAAAATTACCCCCTATTACCTGAGACTCATAACATAAATAGTAAAAAGTGGCTGTTACATTGTACAGTGGCATTAAATGCCGTAATGTGCAGCTCTGCCCACCTCTTCGGGAATAAAAGGCATGATGTTATGTTATGTTGTGTAATACGTAATCACTGGCTACTTCGGGTGCAGCTTTACCCACTGCTTGGCAATCTTGATTTCAGCGTGATTTTATATATTTGTTGGAATTTAATCAATGAATGGACTATCCAACACAAAAAGAATAATTCATATCGGACCTGTAGTTTCAGAGATTAGGGCATTCAAAACATACTCTTTAACTTTATGTTATCTAAAACCTTTATACGAACAATTGTTGCAATATATCAACGATCTCAGAAACAGCTCCAACGATTTTCTTGTAATTAGGAGATTTCAGGGGCGATAAATCGATCTTTTAGCAGTTTACTAAAAAAAAGCAGCGTGCAAAGCTAGGTCATCCAGGTTCTAAGTATTAAAAGACAATAGATTATAATATATATATATATATATCAGCCACTTGGGCTGTTCTCCTTATATGCTGCATATAAATCTCTATCAGCACGCCACTGTGTTTGATCTTCAGCTCTTCACATCCAACCGACTATCGGTTACTTGTGGATATTGTCTCTTCACCTAACTGAAAAGTGTCTTATGTTAGACAAGGCTTGCAATCGTCTCCGCTTCACAACATTTCTACCCCCACCTCATCGAGGATCTGGTTGTGTACTACTACTGTCAACTCATTTTATATTTTTACTTTAGATTGTAAAATTAAAAGGTAAATCAGGGATAAGGAAAATTTCTTAATTCTATTCTACACATTCGTCCGTCCGTCCGTCGAGAAGCGTAAGCAAAGTTTTCACACTTGCTCGCGAACCTGGTACGTTTCAATATTAAATTTAGTTTTCGCTGAAAGTTACTCGTAACCCGGTGTGGCGAATTTCCTAGAAATTAATATGAAAATATGTAGTTTTAGAAGTGGAAACTTTTTATGATACAACCCGCACTTTAAAATTGGTCCTGAATAAAAAAACCAATTATTTATGGACATACACACACAAAGTACACACACATACGTCCACATCTATAATTAATAATTCTGCCAAAAGTTTATTTGTTTTCCTCTATAAACGGAAATTATGTCAACAAAAAGCAAAAACGACCTCTTTACATAAACATACGAAGACAATCAAAAACAATTTTTAAAAGGAAAACAGTATTCAGAAATCTCCGTTGTCTATGATTGATCGCAGCGTAGAGGTCCGTTTGATCTATCATAAGTGTGTTTACGACAATCTATCATCTGTGGCAAATATAGAGTCCAGTTGTTTATGGAAGGTGGTGATAGATCGCAGCATTACGGGCAACTGATGTGTATAAGTAGGACATAGGTGTAGTAAATATTACATGTTAATATCTAAAGGAATTGTTGATCAACAAGTTTTGTGGAACATCATTCATCATGTCTTGGCAAACATCTTCATAAACTTAGATATTATTTATGGGTCTTGTTTCTAACCTCGATCATTGATGAAGTATTGTTTCGTGTGTTTCTCGGAGGAATGGATAAGGATATGTTCTGCTACCATATTTTTGGACTCCATTTTGATGTCGGCTATTTATTCTTTAATGATTTCAAGAAGAAATATTTATCCAGTCTGATGTAACGTCTGTTATGCGCAAATATACAAGTACATATTAAACCGAGATGGATCTTTAGATAATGAGGAAGTCATGGAATATTTCTTAATTATTTACATGAAACTCTAAAAGAACATCATCTTTTTTTCATTATTTTCTTGTAATGATGCACTTAACATGACCATAAAATAAACAACGTTGAAAATAGAATGCGCGCCAACAAGATAAAAACAAGATGGCGGCAACAAGCATCGTGCATTGTTTTTATACTTACAGCCGTAGAGGCACGGAGGCATTCATCTTTATAATTCCAAGAAGTCACAACTGTCAGCTCTCAGTTCGAGAACTTTCTCAAATTTTCTTTATGCATACATATCTTCAGTTTTGTGAACAAGCGAACTGTGAAAATACGCGAAACGCTCGAAAATAATGATGCTGCCATATACGGGATTGTTTTCTAGGTAGCGACGAAGTTTTGTTTTTAAAATTCGTGTAATATTTTTCGTGAAGAAAGTCATGTTAGTGGAAGTTTTAATGCATAAAGTCTTTGCAAATATGACTAATGTTTGTGTTCCTTTTACAGCAAAGATTTAGGTACCTATAGTGTAATGAATAAAATATAACGCATCAATTAACATCACACATTAAAAATATAAGAAGTGTGGGAGAGCAATGCTTCGGCATGAATGGGCCGGCTCGACCGGAGTGATACCACGACCGAGCAGAAAACCGACGTAAAACAACGCTTGCGTTGTGTTTTGTCGTGTGAGTGGGGATTTTGGAGGGCCAATAATCCCCCTCTCCAGTCTCCCAAATCCGAAAGTATTCGTTTCTGTAAGAAAATAAAAAATACGTGTCTAATGATTTGAAATAATCTACCAGACGGACATTAAAATAAACATTAG